ACATACATGGAGGACACAAATAGAAAAAAAAAATTCAGACTGCATAACACTACAGGACAAACAACCTGTTTCTTCAACAAAAAATTATAAGGAGAAAAAGAGACAAAGGAATGAGAATTATATAGATTTAAAAAGTTGTAATTATATAGATTCAAAAAGTTTGAAGTCTCTTACAACTTTTTAATGTGTAAATCTTATTTGGATCCTGATTCAAACAAATATATAGCAAATTAAATGGTAATTGCTTATTTAATGATATTAACAAATTATTAGCAGTCTTGGTTGTAATGATAGAACTGAGTTACATTTTCAACCTTTTATTTTGAGATAATTATTCAGTTGAAAGAAGTGATACAAAGAGATCCCTTATAACCTTGCCCAGTTCCCCAGTGGTGACATCTTGCAGAATTGCAGTACTTTATCACAACCAAAATACTGATACTGACTCAGTAAAGGTGCAGATTTCTGTTGCCATAAGGTTCCCCATATTACCTTTTACAGCCCAGTCATACCCCCTCTCTTGCACCTGGTACCTACAAGTTTGTTTTTCAATCCATTACTTTGTTATTTAAAAAATATTATAGAAATGGAATCATGTACTACACTACCTTTGCGACTCAGTATAATTGTCTAGATTCATCCAGGTTGTGGAGTGCATCAGAAGTTTATTCTTTTTTATTGTTGAGTAGTATTCTATAGTAAGGGTGTACCACATTTATTTTAAAATTTTCTGTTGATGAAATCATATGTTCTCCCTCATATGCGGACTATAGATCCAGGGCAAATGCAGCAATGTGGTTGGACTTGGATCACATGATAAGGGAAGAGCAGATCTGGGTGATATAGAAATAGGCAGAAAACCCAAAACATGAAAGTGTTTGATGTCCCCACTCCAGAGGAGTTAATGCAGAAACCTTAACACAACAGAGGTTATCATGAGAAGGGGATCAGTAACCAGGGTAAAGATCAGTTAGAGATGAATTAACATGGGTCATAACACGTGTACACGAAAGCAATGCTAGGAATATTTCTGTATAGCTATCCTTAACTCAACTAGCAAAAACGCTTTGTCTTCCTTATTAGGCTTGTAGTGATAAAGGCAGAACAGGACCTGCCTGGAACTGAGGGGGAAGGGAAGACAGGGTGCGGGAGGGGGGCAGGGGGGAGAAATGACCGAAACAATGTATGCACATGTGAATAAAAGAATAAAAAAAAATTTTCACCCAACTGAAAGATATGTTTTTTTTCAATTGAACTATTGTAAATAAAACTACTATAAATAGTCATGTAAAGCCCTTAACTTTAAAGATATTTACTTAAATAATTGTGGATGAGACAAAACAATGTCTAGGATTTGTTTCAAAAACCTCCAGACCAGAGAAGATACCAGAACAAAAAATTAGTAAGTTTGGGGCTGAGGATATAGTTCAGTGGTATAGAGTATGTATCTGGCATATGCAAGGCTGCAGGTTCAATCACTAGTGTAATTACTAGTGTAATGTACTTGTAATTACAAGTACATTATCCTATTACCTCTACTTTTGTATATGCTTAAAATTTTCCAAAATACAAAGTTTAAAAAAGAAAAAAAAATTTCTTAATTGACCACTACACACCCATACACATAAAAACATCTTTAAGCAAAATTGAAGGTATGAGTATTTTTATCTTATAACTTCAGTCCATGCCAAGATCACAGGGATTCTTTGCTTAAAACACTCCTTCAGTGATGGGCATTATAATATTCACCCTAGGCAGATCCAACCTAGGCATCTGCTAACTTTCTTTCAGAAGTTCTTTATTAGACTACAGGGTTGAGATAATAGGTAGTCCGAAAGGTTGGACAAAGGCAGGTGAGTAATCACCATAATCAAATGTATGAGATTCATGAGTGGCTGTCTTCAAAAGAGGTTTCATGTCTGACATGAACAGGCCCTTATCATCAAGACAAATGCTGAGAGAACAGAAGTGTGATTACTACAGATGAAGAGCAACAAACTTTATGAGCACAATCAGGCCTGAAAATGAAGGGAAATGCATTTTATATTATGTGAAGGCTGCTTTTGTTTTTAAGTCACTCTGGAGGACAGGATATTATTATCATGTTCAGCCTGCAAGTTAATGATTTTTCAGTATAATTCTGTAAAAATGATGTCTACTATTTGGCACCATCAATATTCTATCAGTTTATTCTCTCCCAGTTCCCCAACTCTATATCACATCCCTTTCCATCCTACTGAGGCACTTTGTTTTTTCCCCACATGAGTTCTTACAAAAATGCAGCCCCATTCTCTCAAAGATCTCAAACAAAGAAAAAGACATGAAATACCAATCCAATTTGGGGATTAAAAACCAAGACCTTTAAAGAAAATACACATGATGACTTTCAAATGCCAAATGGTGCACTGGCTACAAATGAGTTTCCCTTGGATAGTCTTAAATGATAGAACATCCACTGTGTTGAGAAACTCAAAGGCTTAAATAAAGTTTGTTATTGGAGGTATTATTAAAAGAAGTTATTTGGGATGGTGATGTGGTAGAGAATTTGCTTAGTAAGGACAAGGCCCTGAGTTGAAACCTCACTGCTGCCCCAAAAGATAAATAAATATATAAGTTATTTGACTCATCCACAGATGAAATTCAGCAAGACAAATTCCAAAGGTCCATCTAAATTTTATAGTTGGATTGTAGTTTGGTTATTTCAATTATTGCTCCTATTAAGTGAGCCCTGATTTGATGTTAGAAACAACATGTACTGTGATAGGGTTTGATCTTTATTACTATAACACTATGAAAAATAGGAAAAAGATAACACAAATGTCTATAAATTAAAATGTATATAAAATTCTATTAAAAACAATCAATGTATAGATTGGTTCATTTGGTTGGTTTAAAAACTTGGGAATTCTACCAACGGAAAGAAATCTACTGAAAACATCATATTAGAAAACTAATAAAATAGATTTGAATTTTAAAAAATCCTGTTTCTATGTCATGAGTCAGAACAGAAACATGTAGAATTAAAACACAAAATTACATAAACCACCAGGAATTGTGATATAAGCTGGCATTGAGATTACTAATGGGGGTGCTAAAGACTAAAGGAAAAGGATAAAAATTGGGATCAGAAGCATAATAGAAAAATTATTTGAGAAAATGGTGCTAAAATTAAATGCACATATATTTTGGATGCTCGCTTCCTCTATCCCTTGGCATTTTCCTTGCCTCCTATAACCAAACATTTCTGGGTCTTATGGATTCTGACTCTACAGTAAACATTTTGGACAGTTTGTAGTCATTAACATAAGACTAAAAGTTGAAACTCTTAGCACTCACCTTAAATATTAATGAAAAGTAGTTTGCATAAAATAAAATGGTCTTGTCAAAAATCTTTACATCTGCTTTGCTTATATGTCATTTAGCATTCTTCACAGTAACCACATATGCTTGGTCTACAGAACTTGGAGTTCAGAGGGGACCAGGGTAGTTTCAGAGAAAGCAGTATATTAGAAAACAGGTAGGGCACATGCAGACAACAAAGAGGGAAGACATTAAAACTGGAAAGAATTCCAAGAACAAACCGTCCGAGATAGGTACAGGTAAATAGACATGTTTGGCAGGAGTGAAGGTACAGAAGATCAGTTTTAAAAAGCAGGTGGGAGCCAGGGAGTGTCAGCCACTTAAGCCCAAGCAAGGCATTTAGACCATGTCCTACGGGCTTGAGCTATAGGCTTCAGCATGGGTGAGGTAAGTATGCAGTGGTTAAGAAGATATGACTAAATGCAAGGGGAGAGAGGGAAGGGGAAGAAAAATCAAAGATAAGACGCTTTACTAATTGTTCCAGGTGAGGTCATAGGGCTTAATCTAGGAGGGTGATAGTGGGAAGGGAAAGGAAAAGATTAATTTGAGGGGCAGCATGAAAGGTACGTAAAGCTAGTTTTGTCCTCAATTGAAATCTAGAAAATGGTCACTTGCAGTCATTTTTGAAGAACTAATTATGAGCTGCTAAGGATTCTTACGTTGATTGGGAGGTAAACTGCCATTATTATGCTCAAATATGTAAGAGAGCATAAAATTTTAATGGCTGGTAAAGTCATTTTTAAAGGAAGCTTTAATTAAGCTTAATAGAGGCTTAGAAAAAATAAGATTTTAGATATAAGTAAAAATTATTATTAAAGTCATGATTGGTTGCAAGGTGATGAATACTTTTAAATTTCTAAAATAATTAACTGCTGATTTTAGCAAGGCAGTAATACTAACATACATGATTGACAGACCTATTTTCTCTACTTTTGCAAATCGGCCTTTTATATCTCCTTTCACAGATCTATTTTTCTACTTTGCACATCACTATTGTAAACCTATCATTAATCAAAAGTTCATAGTTTTGCAAATGCACCAATGAGTAAAACTGGGAAACACGATAGGTGATATCAGCTAAAGCATCTATTTCTTAGTATATGTGCCAACTTGATTTCTATTTTCACTTATGGAATCCATTTTTGTGAAATACTTACTACATGCTAAGTACTCTGCTGGGTACATAATGAAAGGTAAAACAGAAAAACACACATGGTCATATGTGTTTTTACAAAGGAGCTCACAAAACAGGAAAAAAGCTAGATATTAATTGTTTAAAAATCATCCCAATATATAATTCAAAACTAAGATAAGTCCTCTGCAGGAAAATTATAGAGTGTTAAGAAAGCTTTTAATAAGGAGGGTAAACCAAGTCTGGGTCTGGGAAGGTGTTTTTTAAGGAAACTTATCTTTAAACTGAAATCTGTAAGAATGTGGAGGAGAAAAATAGGGAATGGAGTGGATGAGAGAAGTAGATGAAAAAACGATGAGCAGAGGAAAAGAACTGCATACAGGGCTGTCAGAGTGGCTCGAGCGGTAAAGCGCCTGCCTATCAAGTGTAAGGCCCTGAGTTCAAACCCCACTATTGTCAAAACAAAAAAAAAAAAGGTGCATACAATAAAACAAAAATATTCTCTAACCTGTTGAGTAATAGTGTCCCATGGTCCTTGCAGCAGCCGTGTTTTATAGCACTCATGAACTCCATCCCATATGTCCTTCAGAGCTAAAGGTCTTCCATCTATAAAAGTGCATGATAAAATTAAATTAGTGATATATGTGACATGATGGTGCTTGGTGTTAATTTAAAGTACTAGAAGAGTATTATAACTTCTTCAAAAATGTTTACTAGTGCACACATATCTTATATATCAAGTGTGCCATATGAAATACTGTTTTCTTCCTGAGGGACATCTAAACAACTAAGCTTTTATCCTTTGTATCCACATAGCAATAAAATTATCTGTCCATTCATTGCCTCTAAGAATTTTACAAAATACATAAAAGCCAAAAGTGTATTGGAGAAAACTGATATATACAAGTGTAGGTAAAAGACCAGGAAAATGGACTTCCATATTCACAAGCGCTCACTATGGATAACTCTAAAGCCCACTCCACTTTATTACTTAAAACAAAAAGACCATACTCAGGCTTTTTTCACTCTCCTGTTGATTGAGTGTTGATAATTGCTTGATTGAGCATCATGTAGAGAAAAAGAGAGGGAAACACACCATTTCTTTTAATAAGAAGCTTACCATCTACTAGGAAAACTATGACAAGTGTATTAATAACTGAAAGTTCTAGGTAAAAAGAGGTCACTACCAGAGGAAACCTGCAGTTCTCTGACAGTCCAGAGGCACATTGCATATTCAGATTCACAGAATTTAAGTCGAAATGTAAGGTGTGAGGGAAAAGCATGAGATTTGGAATCTGGGCTAAGTTTAAACCCTGGGGTTAGCAATTACTCTCTTCACTACTGCAAGTTATTTTGCTTTTAACTTTACTATAAAGTGAGGATAATAATCCTTTTCAAATTTTGTTCTCATGAATTTATCCAGAACTATGTTTGGCAAAAAATAAGAGCTCAATAAATATTAGGTATCTTCTCTCAGCTCACCACTCCACTACTAGGTAATTCTCAAAGCCAAAAGATTCATTTCTAAACTGTTATTTTTCAGGATGTCTCCATGTTTCTACAGCATGCATACCGTCTTTGATATAGTAAGGTATTAATAGGGTAAGTAGGGCATTTCTCATGTTTGACCTGAAAAGTTGAACTTTTCCTCAACCTTTATTTTCAATAAATAGCAGTAGAATATTTTGATACATTTTCAATAAGTATCTTCATCTTGGCATTTATCTGGCTGCAGGAGACCATTATCTTGTGATAAATAGTTTTATTCCATTGACATTTCCATGTCTGTAAAATGAACAAGATTTATTCATCCAATTAACATTTGAATGTCATGTTTAGCTACAAGTTAAAAACAAGCTGACTTCAATATCTGTGTTATATTGTTTTCTGAACACATTTACAGAGTAGTGCTAAACTCTGCTCTTAATATAAGCACAATATCTCTTCATATATGCATGTACATGTATGTGTGTGCACATGTCTGTGTGTGTGTCTGCTGATGTTAGAAGACGCAAATAAGATCTTAAGTACTTCAGTGTCACGTAAGTTAAGTAATCAAATTACAAAAAGGTGATAGGCTTTTAAAATAATTTTTACATATCAAAATTAAAAGAAATCAAGTATACAGCTTTATAACTGCTAATTTTATAAATAAGGCAACCAGTGTCTTGAATAACACAAATCTCCAAAATTATGCAGTCAGTTCACAACTGAGCTGAAATCAGAATCTAGGTTTCAGGACTCACAATCCAGTGCTCTTCCTGCTCTGGGGACAGAGACGTTACAAATGCATTACAAGTATTTATTGAAAAAATGATAAAGAAAAGAATTCCCTCCTTATCATTATTTCCTCAAGACAGAAAGAGCTTTTCAGAACTAAAGAAGAATGCAGGGCTTAATATCTGATAATTTTAAAAGATTTTAATATTATTCCTTAAAATATTTCAATCAACAATCTAAGTATTGAGTACATGGTTTGATATAACCACTCTCAAAACCTCATACTCTCCTGGAAACATTCATACAAAATGTAATAATAAGCAGCCTAGCACCAATGTGCAGCGACCCAGAACAAACAGAATTTTTATCAGATTTGATACTAGAATTGAAAGTAAGTGCCATAAGCTTTCAGACATCAAATCTAGAGAGAAAAATGCATTCCTTAGAGTACAGGAATTAAAAAATGATCTAGTCACCTAGATCATTTAAAGATATTAACTGAATGCACTTCTACCTGTATCCCAAAAATACCATTTAATAAAAACAGAGCAATTAGTATAAATGCATTTCTCCATTGATTTTAAATTAATCAAAAGAATTACAGTGTGGAGGCTGGAGGTAGAGCTCAGTGGTAAAGTATGTGTTTGGCATGCACAAGACCCTGGTAGATTGATATACCTACCACCTTGTCCTTTCTCTATTCTTCACACAGTGCTGCAAAACCAGAAACCACGAGTCACTTTACATCCTTTTCTTTCTTAACCTTGTATTTCATAATGAAAACAATGGTCCCCTATTATATTTTAAATATCTCTAGAATCTGTGCTTTCAATTCCATTCCTGCTGCACTGGAGTACAAGTTCTAACCTCCAGCGGCAGACTCTGTCAGTCCTCCAGTCTCCTGGTGCTGGCTCCTAGGCCATGTCACTTTCAAACACAAATCTAATATAACTTCTCTCTTGAACACCACTCTTTAGTTTTCCTTCTACCACAGCATAAAATCCAAGCATTTGGGTATTCTGGATCCTGTTAAGTAACCTATCTTTGCCATTCTTCCCTAAGAATCAGCGCTTAGAGAAGGAGGAACTTCTAGCTCTCCACAGGCTCATTCTAGCAATCCTTTTCCCTGTTGGATGCTTTGCATAGCAACTATCACTCTTTCAAGTTATCTTAGTTATTTATAAATTTCTCATTTTCTGTTTTTCCAACTATGAAGCTCTATGAAAGTAGATATTGGTATTCTTAATCCTGCCTGTATGCCATCCCCTGAATCAAGGTCTGGAACACTGTAAGTAGTCAATAAAGATTTGTTAAATCATAAATACAGATGATGTTTCTATATTTTTTCCTATCCAGTATTATGAAATAAACATTTTCCCACATGAGTAAAAAAAAGTTATTATTATTTTTCCAAGTATGTGACATTGTACTAACATAACACACCATAATTTACTTAAGAATTCCACTGATGTAAGTCATTTAAATTATTAGCAGCTTTGAAACAGTGTCTGACACAAAATAGTCACAAAGTAAGCCATAGTGATTTTCCTTCTTTTCAATTATTTTTTGATAAATTCTCTAGCATGGAATTACTAAGTCAAAGTGAAAAATAACTGTTTTAATTCAAGACAGAACTAGTATCTCACCTCCCAAGATCTTCTCTGGGGTAATGAGATAAGATGTTAATTTTAGAAATGGCTATTTATATAATTTGTCACTAACTACATGCCAAGCATTGTTCTAAGCCTTTGTGATATATACATCAGTTAACAAAGCAATGTTTTTGTGGAGGTTACATTTAGCTGGAGAAAGGGAAGGATGTGACGATAAGTAATGAAAATAATAAATGAGTAAACCATAGTATATTAAGAGATGATATACTATGGTAAAAAGAAAGAGTAAAATAAGGACTGCCAACCAGGGGTGGGTTTGCAGTGTTAGATCCCACTGAGAAAGAGACTTGTGAGTGAACACTGGGAAGCATTAGCACTGATACCTGACTGTGAGAAGGAAAAAAGTTCCAGGGAGAGGGGAGAGTGGAATCACTTAGCACTGGCAGGGTATTTAAAAACATTAATTAAAAAAAAAAAACAGCTTTATGAAGATGTAATTCACATACCTACAATTCACCCATTTGAAGTATACAATTCAATGGTAGTCTCAGAGTTGAGTAATCACCACCTCAGTCAATTTTGGAATACTCTTTAGCATTTGAAAAAGAAACCTCAAACTCATTAGCAGTCATTAGTTATGGTCCCTCTACCTGTCCAGTCCTAGGAATATACTAATTAGCTTTCTGTTTTTATGAATTTGTCTATTCTATACATTTCGGATAAATGGAATCATACAACATGGGTCTTTTGTGACCTTTCACTTTGCCAACTGTTTATAAGGTTCATCTGGTATAGCATGTATTGTAGTTCATTTCCTTTTATAGTTAAATTATATTCCATGTTAATGGACAATGGGATTTTTTACCCACTTTTTGACTGCTTTGAATAATGATGCTATGAATATTCATGTAAAAGTTTTGTGTGAACATATGTTTTCTTTTCTCTTGAGTGTACCTAGGAGTGGAATTGATGAGTCCTATGGTAACTCTGTATTTAACCTTTTGAGGAACAGCCAGTCTGTTCTCTAAAATGCACTGACATCCTACCAGCAGTACACGAGGCTTCTAAACTTTCTATATCTTTTCCATCACTTGATTTTGTTTTTGCCTTTTAATTCTAGCCATCCTACTGGGGGTGAAGTGGCAACTCACTGTGATTTCCATATGCATTTTCCCTTACAATATGTGACACTGAGCATATTTTCATATCACTATGTTTTTTGGATAAGTGTCCAGTCAGATCCTTTGCCTCTCTTTAAAATTGGGTTATTCATCTTATTATTAAGGTGTAAGAGTTCTTTATGTATTCTAGATACAAAATCCTTATCAGATGTATTTATTTGCAAATATTTTCTCCATTTCTGTGGTCTATCCTTTAAAGCACAAAAGGTTTTAATTTTGATGATGTTCAGTTTAAAATTGATTATTTTCCTTTGGTTGCTGTGCATTTGGTGTCATATCTAAACCAGTCCATAATCCAAGATCATGAAGATTTAGTCCTTTATTCCTTCTGAGAAGGGTGCTGACTTTTGGAATGAGGAGATACTGCAGGGTTTTCAGCAGATGAATGACATCATCTTACTTAGGTTTGAAAAGGGTCAGATTCTGTATCTCTTTCAAGAATTTGAACCAAAAGAAACACAAATGTTTATTTTTCTTTACTTTTATGTTATCTTCTGATATTACTTTATTATTATTTGCGGGTCTCTTCCATCTACAACATAGATTTCATGCAGGCTGTCTGACTCCTGGCTATGCTCCTAGCACACAGACG